AGCTGGAAATATTCAAGAAAGTTTGAACTCTAAGCAAATTTGAACCCTAAGTAGGGCAGTGACATAGTTAGAACATAACATATGAGATGATATTTGGAGAAATAAGGCAAATACTATCTCCTGTCAATTAGGGGGAAAAAAGGAGAAAAATGCTGAAGTTATGGTATTCACTGTAAATTAAAATCCAAACCATTACTGAGCTACAAACATCTGCTGCAGTAGTTCCTCTGTAAACATCACTACTATGGAGGTCTAAAAGCATGTGAAAATCAAACAAGACAGCAAGAAAAAGACTAAGGAAAAAAAAAATCCAGTCTTAAAAAGAGCAGCTTGAAAGGTCTGAGTGTGCAGATCCCAAACAAGGCCCATGGACAGTTACGGGTGAATGGCATTTTGTGTTTGGAGCAGGGGTTTTAACAGCTGTAAACAGATGAGCAGGCTCACAGGGAAACCAAAGGCACCAGCATGTGTTAAAAATAAGCATTTGGAAGTGGAAGGCCTGTTATTTTATGGGGAAAAAGCAGGGGAGCAGACAGGTACTTTTCACAGCTCCTTTTCCCACACATGTGCATAATGTGGGGTCAACCAGAATTATGTGTACACTGGGAAAACGCTTCCCATTCCACCTGCAGGCTGTCTGCAATGGGCAGGTTAAGTGAGCTGGCAGAAAAAAAAAAGAAGAAAAAGCCATCTGCACTACATCTGAAGCAGGACAGGTTTCCCTCACCCTCCATTCCCAGCTGTATTAACCCTACAGGTGGTTCTTTTCCAGACCACAATGACTGGAACAATAACACAGTGATACACTTTTTAAAAAGATGGAGGAAAGAAAGACTTGCTCAGATAGTCCCAAACACAGAGAGGCATCCTGTAATGCCAGTCTGAGATAACTGGCAATTTAATCACAGCCTCTTTAGAGACACCTAATTAATTCAGTTACACCACACTGTAATTCATTCAAGGCGCTTCAAAGCAAATGCAAGCTGTGCCTTACCCAAAAATAGGCACTGAACTAGAAGAACAGAAACAGGAAGGTACAGGAGAGACAAGCAGCTTGTAAACAGTGAAATCTCCAGATTCCTGAGGGCAGTTTGCTGTTTGTGGGGATAAGTCATAGCTGCTGCAGAGAACAAACAGGCTGGTCCACGTGATCCAGCTGTTACACCCACTGGGGAATAAAAGTAAACTTCCTACTCTGTTCTGTCATTGTCATATCCAAGATACAAAGGAAGATAAGAGGAAGGGAGGAGAGGACAGAGTCAGGCTGCAGCATGACAAAGTATTCAAGAAAGAAAGCAAAAGCAGAGGAATGGAACAATAGTGTTTGGACAAACACTTTATGCTTTAAAGCACCTATGCATTAAACAAGATTTACTGCTATTTCCTTTTCTCTCTCTGACATCTACAGCCTAATCATTCCAACAGCTGTGAAAATAGGGACTAAAAGAGCCGTCTACAAACTGGGAAGCGGGACCAAGGCCAATGGCTGGACAAAACCAGTGTCACAGCAAACTTTCCTTTGTAAAAAAACAAAACCCAAAAATAACAGAGAGAGGGAAAAGAAAAATTCTCAGAGTTTAACTCCCACAAGGTAGCCAGCTCATGAGCAGCGGCCCAGCTTCTCATTTGTCACCCCTCTCTTTTCAACAACAAAGGCAGCAAAAGCTGCAAAACTGTGATTGCAAGAGTTCTTCTTTCTCATTAACTTTCCTTAATGCCTTATTTTTCCTTCTTCTTTGTCATCCTTCTTTCCCCTCTGAAGGATCCCTGACCTCAGTGATGTATTGGTGTAGTAGACTCTGCCTGCAGTGAGTACCAAAGGGCACACTCAAAACAAACAGCATCTGCTGACTGCAGGGAAGAACACCCATGCTCTGCACACACACCACAAGAGCCCAAACAGGCACAGCATGAGTCCTGAATTTTGAAGAGCATGTTAGGAATTTCACAGTTTGCTTACTATCAAAATGAATCCCTTTTTCTTTTTTTAACCACTTGAGTCCTTCAGCTCCTTGAAAAAACAAACAACATTTTAAATTTCCAAGACTTTCAGCTCCAGCTTGAATCATCTAGAAGAGAAGAAGCTCAGTCAGACAAACCTGAGGATTCCAACTCCTATTTAGCCAGCAGAAAAAGTGGAACTAAAAGAAACCTGGAAACACAAGATACATGTGTGTGCACTCAGAAAACACCAGGCAGGGATAACCAAACCAACATTTTAAGGAACAGATGGATCAGTTGCTCAGCACTCAGACTACTGGCCTAGTAGCCCCGTTCTGTTAATAAAAAAGGTACTCTGTACTTGCTAAAGTTCAAAATGTCTACTTTGGATTCACTCTACCAAAAATGAACTGGATCTTTTTTTCCTCATCGAATTTCAGGCTGTTGGCCCAAAAGAAATGCAAAAAAATTTCTTCCTTAAGAGAAACAGCAAAGAAGTCTGCTTGACAACAGAGAAGTGTGCAAATACTGATTACAATCAGTACAGAAATGACAACCTAAGAAAGCAATCTAATTTATGACTTGAAAGAAAAACAATTTTGATACTTAGACTGCTTGTCAAAGTTGCTTTCAGTTATTCCAATTAAGAGATTAAATTATATTTAAAAAATAATCTTGGAACTGACAATACCTAACTTCATGTAAGTGTAAATGAATTATTTGTAGCTAATATGTGATAATTTAACGTAGTCATCAATACAGCAAGGAAGTGTTTGAAAATGAGTATGGGAAGCAGGCAGTAAAAAAAGCTATATAAAGTACATTGAAGGTGGCTTTCCCCTGGGCAAAGTTCTTGTCAACAAGCAGTGAGTATGGAAACAGCCAAAAAAAGATCTCCAAGAGCTTCTGCTTTTGTATGCACTCATCTCAGACACACTGCAGTGAACCTGTGACTTTCCACAAATACCCTGAGCTGAACTTGGGGAAAACATCAATGCACCCCACAAAAGAAATCTGTACAACAACTGCCCCATCTGTTTGTTCTGTCTTATATAACTTTAAAATGCAGTGCACATCTGGCTGTAAGAACTGCAGCCCAAAGACAGGCAGATGTGCAGGAGCCAGAACAACTTTCCATTCTAGCTCAAGTTCCGGATCCTATCTAACTCCACAGCTCAAAAAGAAAGCAATTATGCTACCCCTTGAATTTTTTACACATTGATGGGGCAAAATTCAAAGCAATTAGGCAAGGCCCATTCAGTTCATTCAATTATTTGAAGTATTTTATAGACAATTTCCTTATTCTTAATACTCCCCCTCATTGCCTTTTTCCATCTTTTCACAGTGTCCTTTTAATAAACCAGGAATTTTTCAGTCCAACTCTCATTCATTCTGGTTAGTTCCTCATGTGAAATGGAAGAAAGACAAGGAGAATCAGAAGTAATAGAGACAAAATGAATACAAATTTAGGAGGAGTCAATCCATGTACATATTCTGAGATGCCACAGGTTCAGGCAAAGACTTATTTCCCTTCAATATCAAATCTGAACCTTCTACAAGGCTGTTTTCTACTTCTGAGTGGTTTTCAAGAGGCAAAGTTGTGGTTTTTGCTTTAAGTGAGATCATAGAAGATACAGCAGAATTTCTAACAAGCAACAAAGCACAATTTTTTACAAAGAATAACGTAGGCCTTCTGGTTGAAGACAAAGTTGTAGTTGCTGTTTATTTTGAAAGGACAAGTGGTGGTGGATTAAAGTATTAAAAGGGTTTGGTTTTCTGCACTTGACATTTTACAGTTTATGGATAAAATAATTACCTTACTTTGCAAAACTATTAGCATCAAATTCTTCACTTCCCTTAGTGGGAATGACAGATGGTCACTCTTGATGAAAACAAGTCACACACACACCCTTGTTAAAGTATTGAGTATCAACCATTTTTAGATACTTCCTGTGCATATCTCCTGTCCATTCTGAATCAAAATATTAGACAAACCAAAAGCAAATATAAATGACTCCCTCTATTTCCCTTGACAATAACCTAAAGGCTTGACACTAACCTAACTATATGGCAGTGATGTGCCTTCAACAGAGGCTGGTTCTTAACTGGTACCTAGAAAGGGAACTGCATGCCTTCAAAATGCTCTGATGAAGTAAAATGTAGCAGATGTTAAAATCCTCACTTCCGACTTAATATTGTTCAGTTTCCATCCAAAAATGTATAGCTGCCTGTGGGATTAGTGGCAGCTCCCTGCCTGTCCATAACTGCCCTTCACTTCACTCCCTTGAAAGAATTAAAGTGCTGACCCAGTAAAAAAAGTGTGAGAGAGAATTTTGTTAAGATCTAGTCCCAGTGTACAAAACTCAGTTCCATTTGAAAGGTTTCCACAAATCTCATCACATTCAGAAAGGAATGCAAAGCCTCCTTATATAACTTGGCTTTGTCTAATTTCTTTACAGATGAGTACATATTCACTCACTGACACAAGTCAAAATGCAACAAAACTCTTCAAACTAAGATACAGCAACACCACCAACACAAGAGGTGGTTAGTGTGTGGCCCTTCTCACTGGTGAGGCCAAGCCCAGACTTGGCCAATGCAATTTTCCCTTTCTATCACAGTTCTGCAGCTGCAGAGTTACCTGCTGCATCCCAGAGGGTAGCATTTAATCAGCCTAGTTAGTATAAAATGTATTTATGCAGTCTGACTGCTAGTGCCAAAGGCTTCACAGATTTATTTGCTAGCACTAGCTAGCAAGACAAAAAAGGCTGACAACTGGGAGTTTTACTGTTTTTTTTCTTTTTCACAGCTTCGTTACTGTGTACAAGAAATGCAACATGACGCCTCATCTGTAACATACTGATAATTGCTTAAATGCATTTGCAGAAATAGCCAAATAACCATGGGAAAGTAAAACACCAGAAACAAGATTCAAAGATTAACCTCTCATGCCCTAATTTAAGGATTACCTTTGGAAACAAACAATACCACCAGAAATGAAACTAACGAAAGCAAAACCTTTACAAATAACAAAGGTAGAAATTTGTGAATAGTCTTACTTGTAGTTTTTCTCCCAGAACTTGATCGGCCGTGCGTACGATGCGATGAAGATGACACTACCCAGAAATGGACTGAGTGGTGTAGAAAAGACTGAAGCAGCCAGAGTTTGAAAAAAAAGCATAGCGGAGTCTGAAAACTGCAAGTTAAGGTAACACGGAAAGGGAGGAAGGCAAGCAGTGCCAAATCAGCCATTATCAGCACATAGTCAGTGGTTCTTCAATGCTACAGTTCTATTATTGGGGTGACCCTGTGTAATCTCTGCCCGAGGACAGATGCTAGGCATAGGCAGTGCAGCAAACACCCTTTTCCAGCTACCTCAGCTACCTTCTGTGACATAAAAGTGCCTTTCCAGAGTCTGACACAGAGTTTAAAACACACACACATGAGGAAAAAACTAATCTCTTGGAAATAATTTGTTCTCCACACTGGAGTCTGGCTTTCACCGTGTCCAGTGCTCCATTTTGTGGTTTTCTGCTTGTTTTGGAATGACCTGGTATGTGGAGAAACTATGCCTCTATACTCCAACCTGCTGGTTCAAAGTCATGCTTTGACATTGATTCTTACTGAGAATTTACAATTCCATGCTGGCCAAAAGCTAAAAAGTGTTCAGCATTTCATACTTTTTGAAACATATAAGAAATGAGAAGGTTACTATTACAGGGAAATAGTAATTATCACACATAAACATCATAATAAATGCCTGAATCCATTGTTTACTTCAAATGTAAAGTCATATTTCAGGCTGCTGGAAAGCAAGTTAGGAATTGGATAAGGATACTGAAAAATATGTAAATTTAAAGGAACATAAATAAATGCAAGCAAATAAAATGTTATGCTTAAATTCTTCATTAATTGATACCACATCAATGAAATCTAAGTAAAATAATTTCAAACTGGCACAAGAGACCAGCTGTCATTCTTACACCTCTCTTGGGAGGGAGGTGCAAAATAAAGAAGCCATGAACTAAAGGAACCACTATCAATGGACAATGATCAAGCACATCTCAATCTAAATTTAAGGTAAAATCGCCCAATAACCAGTGTTTTAGCTTACCCTCTTACAGCAATATACTGTACGTGTGTCCCACAAACCCTGAGACTTCACAAAAAGCCCACTTTAACAAAAGTAGCATCATCGTTGGTACAGAATTTCCAGAAAACTGCTAGCTAGACATGCTCTAAAAGCCATTTGCAAAATCTAGAAACAAATATTTGCCAAAAGATGCCTTTCAAATCTCTCAACCTTACTAAAAGAGAGTGGTCTGGAATGGTGTCTTTGTGCATTAGAGAGATTGAAAAATGAGCTGCCCTGAGAGTCTAAAGTTTAAAAAAGTGACACAGACCACAGAGCAAAAAGCAAGTGCATCAAAAAAGTTGAACTGCCACATTACAGTCTTGTCATAACTAAGCACTGGCTGTGAAAGATGAACAAGTACTTACAAGTGCCAGATAAGGGAAGGAGGCATGGGAGCTGAAGAAAGGAAGAGAGAACAAAAAGGACAGATAAGGGCAGCAAACCAAGTTTTTTTAAGTTGGTACCTATATAATGATTGATTTAAAAATTGCCACCATCATGAGCCAAGACATTTCGCACACCACTGTGAACTGTTTGTGTCTTAAACATAATCAGTAGCAACGGGGATGTTTTTCCTCAGAAGACATAATGCTCTACTAAATAGACAGTAGAAGACACGACCCATTTGATTTGTGAAAAGTGATTTTAACTGTTTCACATCTGTAGGTGTGTCATGAGAGCAAGTGACGGCATCTGACTCTTACGTATGTCTAATGTGTGCAGTGGGCAATTATCTGTCTGAGGGCTATTTTCATTTGAGGACATCCTGTATTAGGTCATTATTTATTTACTTTAAATACCAATGTTTTGATTATGTTTAAGTAAAAAAGAAGTGTCAAAAACTTACAGGCATACTTTCTTTCACTGACCTTTAACCTGACCCAAGACACGTTTCCTGTGTACCATCTTTGTTAGGATACATTGTCTAGAAGCAGAACTTGTTTTTTTGTGAATAATGGATTTTCTTTCTAACATGGCCAAAATCAAATTTTGAGATCAAAAACCCCAAAGCTAAAAAATCTTATAAAACATTGCCTTTGAGGGTTAATTCTTGCAGTTTAAAAATCTGTTTAAATTCAAACCAGCTTCAAAACAAGTAAGTGAATACCTGACATTTTGAAAATCTTCCATCCCCTTCTTTTAACAAAAAACTATGCAGTAAGGCCAGCTCAAATCCTCTGTTTCTCAAAACCCACATTTTTACTTGCAATTACTACAAGTCCCTTCCAGGCAGACAATCACTTAGAGGATGGGAAAACTGACTGTCACGGGGCTCTCTTTTCTGATGTTAGAGCTGTAACCCTGAAACAACGAGAACAGAAACTCTCCTAAAGAGGGTAATCTCAACCACAAACTCCTTTTTTTCCGCCCCTTTAAATTTCAGTGTTCCCTTTTTAGATAAAATCTGCCTTTGAACCACAAACTACACTGACTTTCTCAGCAAGCTGATATTTAGAGATGCATAACCTCGTCTTGCCTAAATGCTAGGAAGTGAAGTTGCAGATCTATCCTCAAGTCTGAAGCCCATTGCTGTTCCTGGTCTTTTAGGATTAAGAGGGACTTTGAAGGGTCACCTATTCCATCTAGCAGCCACAAGCAGAATCAGCTAAACCTATATGACTCCTGATAGACATTCACTTAAAATCCTGAAGATTTCTAATGGTGGAGACTCCACAACCTCCACCAGGCAAAGCTCCACACATGTTGTCCTTCATGCTGCACTCAAAGGCATTAAAGTATGTTGAACTACTCATATCAATGAGCTCTGCAGCAAAAGTTCACCCAGGCATTTTGAAATTTAAAAATTTACATCCTGTTTGCAGAACTGATTGAAGCAATTAAAAGCCACAAATAATTAACTCTGAAAAGAAATGGCAGGTTTAGTACCTCTGTAAACTGCAACATGCATTCATCATTACTATTTGCAGGGTTATGATAACAACAAATAAAATTACCGTGCAAAGAGGCAGAGTTATTGCTGTTGAGGGAATATTAACTTCAGCATTTAACCAGTATCTTAATTGCAGCACTGTCTTAGAAGACAGATTTGCATTTACAAAGAATACTATAAATATAAATAACAAAAAGCTAGGCTAGATCACTTTAGCAATAACTCTGTGAACAAACAAAATTCTGGTTTAACTACTTTCCATTTTGCAAAATTTAATTGGTAATTTTACCAAGAGCAAAGTTATCACTGCAGAAAATATTTGTGACCACAGGGAAACTTGTTGAAATGCAGTCTTAAGTCTTAGTTCTTAAATGTTTTGCTAAATAAATTCATATACACTTCCCCAACAGAAACAAAAATATTTTTTAATTGTGAAATTCTGGAAGGATTTGCTACGAATAACCTAAAACTCTTAGGACAGATCATTGCTTTTATATTGCTTTCCTTCTATAAGGAGACAATCTAAAACTTTCCCTCTGGGAGTCATTCTGTGTGCACTTCCCTCTCTCTGAGGCTTCCATTTATTCTTCCCATCTAGAAACATAAGCATTGTTACTCAACACTGCTTATGTTTCACAGCAAAGAGCAGACAGAAGAAATCGCTCAAGGGAAAAAAAAACCAACCCTGTGGGATGGAAGGGACAAATACTTAAGTGCATTTATCTAAAAAAGAGTACAAAGTGAACTCATCAGTAGGTCTGAACTAGAACCACTTTGTCAACTCTTCTTACACAACTTTGGTTAGCAGGGAAGGAAGAAATTAAAGAAATTAAAAGTTACTATCTGGTAACGCCTTAAGTGTCAACATAGTTAGATTTGTTTAGTTAAAATGTTTTTTGGGTCTTTCTTTTTACTGTATTCAATCAAATTTCTAACTGAATTTCAATTTAAATTGGGTAATTTTTGTTCTAAAAATTCAATATAGAATTTTTAACCCTACAGACAGGTCATTTAGAGGTCATTGAACTCTATGTTTTACTCGCCATATCCACAAACCTGGAGACAGTCCTGGAACAGGCACCAAACAGACTGCTTCTGAAGGACTGCTTTGGTGCTGACAAACACATACTGTTATTCATAAAACAGAGTGGAAAGGTTAAAAAGGAAAATATCCCTCAGCACCCTAATGAGAAAAAATTTACATTAAAATGTAAAAATATAGCTGCTTTTGAAATTGAAAAAAAAAATCAGGACAGTTGCGGCAGAAATTGGCTCACTGAAATGAATTTATATCTGACATACCAACTAGAAACAAGTGAGAAAGAAACTAATATTTGAGAGCTCAGTCAGCCATAAGCCCTGCAATATGTCTGTCACAACATTTCTTTCTGGATGCATCAAAACTCAGTGCTGAGGACTGGAGAAGTAAGTAATCTGCAGAATGTGGCTGGGTGGGAATAAACATACCAGGCTGAGTCAGAGTTCAGTTTCCCAGTTTCAGATCCTATGCAGCCAAAAAAAGAAAAAAAAGAAAACTGTGTTTCTCAGAAAATGTTCCAAGATCTTCAAATTTTAAAGTAAATTACCTAAGAATTTCAAATCTCATTCAAACACTGTAAATGAATCGCATATATGAAGAGGAACTTAATAATAAAGAAAAACAAATTTATAAAGGATATGAGGTATTGCAAAGAGCTGAGCGAAAACATGGAACGACGACCCCCAGGCAATTTGCCAGGGAGCAATGTATGTCATGATGAACTGCAACTTCTGCAGTAGGTCCCACAGCTGAAAAAAAAGGAAAAAAAAAGAAAAAGACACTTTTTAGGCACTGAGATAATTTCAAAACTAGTATCTGAAAGAGACACTTAAAAACTGTGCCCTGGAATAAACATGAGCTAAGTTATATTGTATTATTGCTTTCATAGGTATTAAGGCCTTACTTCAGTAAGGCATTAAAGTACATTCTTCACTCAAAATTCAAACTTGCAATGAGATACATTCCTTACCACCACACTTAGGTAGTTCCCATTGATAACCTTTCAAAAGTATGTCTGCTTTAATTAGAAAGTGGGAGAACAGGTTCTGATATTCACTGACTTTATATGACCACAAGTCAGAGGGTTACAGAAGAGGAGAATGCAGGCAAAACTGGATACAGTGAACAGAGAGAGTTCAATGTTTGACATGCGGCTGTTCACATAGAAATCAGACTTCTCAAGAACACAACATTCCCATTTTTTGACTCGATGGGAGAAGTTATTATGATGTAAGCATATGCACGGCATTAATCATGCATTGCAGCTGCATTTTCAAGACCATTGTATCATAAAAACATTGCATAAATATGAGCTTTTATTGTTACGCCGTGCAAACTGGAAACCACAATGAATTTACTTTTGCTTCCTGTAAAATATGCTTGGTGCTTCAACAGTTTCTGATTCAAGAATGATGTGTACTTTTTCCCTGCAATACATTTTTTCCCCCTGTCATTTGTCTTGGCACCAGGCCAAAACAGATCTTATGTCTCATCTATTGCAAAGTGGGTTCTGACAAACTGTCAGGAAAGATTTGGCCATCAATAGACATTAGTGCTCAACACACACGGAAGCTGACAGTGAAACAGGAGTACATGCAATATTTCATGCTCATATAGCAAATATATGTTGAATTTCTTAGAGTAATTTTTCTTTGAGTTAGTGAAAAACAAGACTTTGCCAACATCCTGAAAGACATTGAGACTGTATCAACACTTGTACATTCAAATGCTTCCAGGGAATGTTCTCAAGCACTGATGTTTTGCATATTTTTAAACTGTTAGAAAGGCATCTGGGAAGGTTCTGGTCTGGCCCAGCTAACATTCTTCCAAACAATCTCCAGGAATTCTTTTGAATGAAAACCCTTAATGGTTCATTTTAGGTGGCAATTCCATACCTGCACCTTGCACACAGACTGGGAGAGCTCATCAGCACAGACACAAGCTCCCCACGACAGCTGGCCTCGGGACAGAGCACAGCTCTGGGCACACTTCGTGTATGAGCATGCTGGCCGTCAGAGCTGACCTTCTCTGGCCAGCTCCTTTCACTCCTCCTTAAGTCACCACTCCCAAAGTCCCCCTTGGCCATCGGAATCTGCAGTGGCAATACACTTACAGGATGTTTCACTGAGCTTCTCCACCACTGTAGTAAATAACTGCATATCAAGTGTGAGGGAAGCAAGCACTTGTAGCATTGACCTGTTTTGGTCTTTGTGCTACAAACCCATCAAACAGCAGCTGCTAAATTGGTATAACCAGTGTCACCCTAGCTCCAGTCACAACTAATAAACCTTCCAGGTGAGATACAAGCAGTGATTCACCCACTTTCTTTGCTTTGGCATGACTCAAATTAGGAGCAATACACAAAGTATAGATTACACTTACTTTGCACAGATATACTACTTAAAACCACCAAAGCTCTGATAAAAATCAAGCTGTTACAATCCCTTCAATGCACAGCCTGGTTACCCCTACTTAGTTTGAGAAACTTGTATCTTGCTAACTTTATTTTCTGTCAAAAATACTAAATGTGACTTGCAGACTGCAGCATTAGAGTAGGCAAGTAAAACTGAACTGAAACTCAAATGGACATTTATTTATTTGAATCTTATTTAGCAGGTTGGGGGGTTGCTTTGTTTCACTTCAGTTTTATTTATCTGAAAAATCACAATGAACAGCTGGAAGAAAAATTTTATTTGGAAAAGGGTTTAAGTGAAGGGCTGGAAAAAGCTAATGACTTGCATTTGAAACTTCAAAAATTTAAAACTGCAGCATAACCCAGCAAAGCTCTGCCAGTTAAAGATTGACATCACAGAGTCATAAATCACCCTAGCTGTGCTCAAAGCACAGAATTCATCAAAAGGTTTTCAAATCTCAAATAAAACTCAAGTTTTGCATTTTCTAGCAAACCAAATCCAGGAGGACACCCTTCTGGCTCCGTGTTCCAATATATAATTTTCAGTTGTTCTGTAATATTTACACCTTGCAAAACTTGGCCCGTGGAGACCAGGTTCCCTATTGCATCTAACAAGTCCTACTGCTTCTGCATCCCCACTGCTGGAACTTGCTGTTGTTTCTTCCAACACTTTCCTCTCAGCTAACACTTCCACAAGACAGGCAAAGGAGCTCATTTCCATTCGAGAACATGAAGCAAGAATGCTTTAGTGAACCTCTCTTGGTTTTTGAAATCCTTACAACACTACACTTAAAAGCCTGGAAATGTGTGATTTTCAAGCTACTGCTTTCATTAAGAGTTGTCAAGTGCCTCTATTACCTCTTAAATCCCTGCTTCCAGGGCATGTTCTGCAAAATCCCTTCAGGGTAATATGCCATTAGCATTTTACATCTCTAACTATAATTGCTAAAGGTGATGTCATCTACCAACTACAACTGTGCTTTAGGAAAGGAGGACTTGGCTTTACATTTTCTCTTTTTCATTTTGCTAAAACAATCTGAGAAACTGTTTCTCCTTACCAGTTTCAACCAGTTTGCAATATGCTTGCTCCTATATCTGATAGGGGAACTCACAGATCTTTTCTCACAGAAAGAAACTGAAGCTGCTAAAAACTGCCTTTATAAATAGGCGAGGCTGAGCTATTCTCTTAGTTCAAGTACAACTAGCTGCATTTCAACCTTCAGTAATCTGAAGACATGAGCTAAAGATGAAAACCTTAATCTCTTTTAAATTGTCAGAAACAATACACAACGAATTGGAAAGAGAGAGAAAAGGCAAAGCCCATCTGGAGCTGAATCTGTTGAGGAAAGTAAAAGGCCACAGGAAGGACTTCTACAGGTGTATTGACAGCAACACACACTGGAAAAAAATCACATGGATCTGCTGATGGATGGGCAGGGGACCTGGTGACAGAGGGCACAGGGATGGCCTTCCTTGGCTTGGGCTTTACTAGTATCCCTTCAAATCAGAGGCCCCTGAGAGCTGTGAGGAAGCATGGAGAAATTGAGATACCCTACATAGCAAAGGATTAGTTAAAAGCACATAAACCAAACTAGAAAAAAACCCACTTCCATGGGACCTGATGGGACACCTCAGCCCTTCTGTGGCTCTTTGAAACACAAATTACCCCCGGTAGTGTTTTGTTTGAATGAGGGAGGGAGAGATGTAGCAGTGCTAGATACAATGAAGGAACCTTTCCATCGAAAGTCAAGGTGGAAAAACAAATAGTCTCTGGTGAATTTTAACCCTCTTTTTATAGCCATTTCCTTAAGCATATATATAAAAGATTAATTTTCATTTAAGCCTTCTGCATCCCAGTTTAGGATGATTTATAAAAGAATATTTTTATTAAGCCCTATTAGACCTTCAGTGTTTTCTACAGTTACAATAAGCAGAAACCATTATATGTTGATATATTATTTATAATATAAAATAATATATTATGTAGGGGGCATAAAAGTTCTAATGTTCCTAGATATCTTTATGCATGTGACAGTTTTACACAGTTAACTGTTTTTAAAGTCTTTGATAAAGACTTTAAATTATCAGCATGTTTGGTGAATTTAAACAGCACATTGCCAGTGCCACCAAGAAAAAGTGCAGAGTATGCATCCATCTTTCATGTGTATTTTATGTGGACACATATTTTACCTTAATTATCCTTAAGTCTTCTATGAGTTCTGAAGCCTCTACAGACTTCTGGTGCACCAGTGAGTATTAAAAAAAGCAAAGGCAAAGACTCATCTTCCCAGGATTTTCTTTAAATCTGGTTATTCTTACTTAAACAAATGTAAGCACCATTACAAACAAATTTAATGGAAATTAGTTAACATGAAAAGTTAAAGATTTGTGGAGTCTAAAACATCACTAAAATTGTGTATCCTTTTCTCAGTTTGGTAGATTTGAATAAACTAGGCAGAGGTTAACACCTGAATTTAAATGACTCATTGTGAGATGGAGACTATGCAATGCTCTCAGCTTTTGGCGGCCCTTTTATGTGTTTGACATCTGCTGGGATTTTGTGTGGGCAGACTTCTTGGCAACTCTGGGACTAAATAATGCATAAACATTAACATTTTCTTGTTAAGTTTAAATGTTTCTGTTTTAAAAAACTGCATATATATATATACACACACATAGGTTTTAAACAAAAATAATGGTCATATATATATATAGCTGTATGCTCTACATGCAACACAAATTGAGATAAAAAAGTTAAGTGCAGAAAGAAATTATTTAGTTTGAACAGGTATTTCTTTATATTCCTCTTTAGATTCTGTGACCTTGAGATGATTTGAACTGAGACTCTAAGAGGAGTATTTACTTCTTCATGTTAAGCTAATTCTGATCAAGTGGAAATGTCAGCTTTCAGAATTAAATTCTAATACCTACTGGTATACTTTTATTTTCTTTTTTGATATGTCAATTAAAATGAATATACATCAAGAGGGAAAAGCTGTAAGTGTGTATGTGTTTAAGGAGGTAAAATTAAACTTGGTGGAATAATTTTATGATTGTTCATGGCTTTGCTTTGCAAATAATTGACTTTTGGGTTTTTATTTAATACCATTTTAACAAACTTCACCTATGAAATCCTGTAAAACAAGATTTACTGGAAATACTAAAGGTTTTTAATGCTTATGTCTTCAGTCATTGTGACATTCTATGGTGTAATTGGACAGCTGTGTTTGAACCTACAACAAATACTTTCTAGGATGTCTTTATCTGCACACGCTTACAGACACTCGAAGCCTTTATTTTGTGGGCTTCAAAATCATTGTCTAATGCAATACATAC